GTCTCCATACAGCGCTCTTTTTGGACGGCCACCAGCAATGCTCCCTGACCTCCCTGTTCTGGACCACGAGCAGCCGACGGAAGCATCGGATCATTCTCGTGAACAGACGGTGCGGAGGGTATGTATTGAAGCTACCACACAGGCCACAGCAGGAGCTAAGACCAATCGTGAATTACGCACTAAGACGACAATTACCGGTCAGCGCTATTATGACGAAGGAGACCGGGTCGACTACCATCGCCCTACGACCACGAAGGATGACTGGGGAGGCTAGAATGGCCCGTTTCCAGCTGTAAAGAATGATCCTGAATGGGGTGAGGTCATCATCCGAGTGGGTAGTCGATATGTTCAAGTCAATACGGCGATGCAAGGCACTCATCATACATTGAAGCACTCATAGCCCTAGAAATTGGCTCCGACAGCGCTGCACTACGCACAGCGTTAACATTCGTAGCCAGCCTATCCGCGGGGAGACCTGCTTTGACCTTTGGCTATGTGCCGACCAAGAAAGGGGCGCTTCAGATGACGGCCGCAATCAGTCTATTTCCTACGGTACACTTGGTCTACAGTATATGATCAGAAACTTCTTTCGTAGTGAGAATGTCGTTTCAGTCAGACTAGCCAAGAGTATACATGAGCTACCTCCGGTTACTTATGCCGGCAGCTGCACTCTGGCTCATTACGACAACAACGTAAATCCAGGATTTCATTATTGCGAAGCAGAAGGTATTGCTTTGAATCTACATATATATGTATATATGACAAAACTGGACCAGCACATTCACGAATTAACCAATGCCTGAAGTCCACTAGACCTCAAGCATGTTTTGATCAGGACATGACAGAATTTGAGGAATTGGCAGATACGCCGACACCGGATGGAACCGCAAGAGAAGCCTCAGAAGCCGAACCAGCACATGATGACGGACGGCTCTCTACGATTTACGAAGAATCAGAGGCTGATCTTGCGTCGCATGTTATGGAGGTGTGGTATGCAGAACTACAAGACGAAAGGGAACTGTTGGAGGCAACTCCACCAGAGGACCTTTTTACCATACCTACACAGATGGTTCCAGGTCAAAGCGCGCTGCTCACTGTAGCTGATGAACAGCGGGGACACCTGCCGAAGTGGGGGCGCACTCACGACTCCGATACCGAAGAGACGTACTACGCCCCCATGTGCACCATGGTCGAATGGTCGAAGACGACAGCTGCGGACTTGACTCAGACGACAATGGCCGATACGTCGAACAATGCTTTACAGCAGTGTCGAAGGTAGTCTTGTCCGAGCAACACCGCGTGATATTCGATGCCGACCTGGTGAGCACTATGCGAGTATGCGTTGCCGCCGCTGCAAATCTAGCTGTGGTCGTCAAGAAAGACGATCTGTTCGCTAAGGCTGACAGTCAGGCGAATCCCGATAAAGTGTCGAAGGCCCTCCACACTGATTTCAAGACATGGTTCGAGAACAAATGCTTCAATATGCAGGAGATAGCCAAAGCGTCGAACATCATGACTTCGAGGTACGTGTACAAATTGAAGTTCGTGAAGGACGAGAAGGGCGAGATGGTTCGCACCATCCGACTAGCTTGGTTCTCCGAGGCTTCATGGGCCTTGAAGCTTCCGACGTAGAAGCATTTTCGGGAACGGCAAGACGGTCAAGCCAGAGGCTGCTCGCTAGCACGGCAGCGTTCCAGAAGCAGTGGATCATTGCTTCCCTCGACATCAACCTGAAAGGATCGACCTCTCAGGAACTTGCTGAGGCTACTGGTGAAAAGAGGAACGCGGTGTGTTTTACTTTGCTGCCTGGATCGGCCACGAGGCCCCGGGCTCTCCCAGGATTCGAGCACTACGACGAGTCAAAGCACTGCCTACAGTACTTAAAACCAGGCACAGGCACTAAAGACGCCCCACGGGCTCTCTCACTTGAGCTCAGAAGAACCACCAGAGGATTTGGTCTCCGACCCACGTCCTACGACGAGGAGTTCGAGGCGAGCATGTCGATGACATTAATATGGCCGGTACGGAGGACACCATTGACAAATATGTCAAATGCGTTGAAGATGCCTTCGGTAAGTGTAAACTTCACAAGCACACATATACCAACTGTGCTGTGATATACACCGAGGACGAGGACGGCAATGCTACTTTGGACCAGTATGAATATTTCAAAAAGCTCCGTCCTATACAACATCCCGGGCTAGCCGGTGCCGACGCTGACGCTCAGGCAACCAAGATGGTGGCATACATGTTCGTCAGCCTCAGGGGTGCGCTGGCATACGCGCTAATCACCCAGGTATGGTTAATGGTGTATGTTGTGTCTCTACAGCGTGTCCAAGAACCGACCGACGTTCAAGTGCGACGACTGAACGCGGCCACCAGAAAGCTACAGGCCTGCCCGAAGAAGATCGTCTACCAGGCGATGAACCCCACGGGCGAGGTCCACCTACATAGCGACTCAGGATATCGACGCCTGAATGGAGACGCCGATGACGACGTGAAAGGCTATGGTATTTGCGGGGCAAACCTGCTACGACGTGGAAACACGTTATCGGGCAAGCCTGTCGTTCACTTGATTGATGCGCGCTGCAAATCTCACCGCTTGCAGGTCCGCTCGAGTTTTCAGCAGAGACACTAGCATCAGCCCATAATTTGGAGGACTTATATCCCACGATTGTGACTCTGCACGAGCTCCACGCGGGGCCGCTCACGCCCACTCAGTTGAAAGATATACTTGAGTTGGGTGACCTGAGCATCAAGGCCACCTTGACCATTGATGCTGGGTCTGTTTTTAAACTCCTTGTCAAGCAACGACTTGAAGAAGCCGACTGATTGTGCCCATTTAGGACACATCAGTTGGATGCGACAGATGATGGAGCGTGGAATCGTGCACGGCATTCAGTGGCGTGGAACCCGCGATATGACCGCGGATGGCCACACCAAGGGGAGCATCGACAGATGCATGCTCCTACAAGTCATGGGAGGTATACAGACCTTCAAACATGACCTGAAGATACATGCTCCATATCGGGCCGGCCAGACATCAAGTTCTGACGCCGCCTGATGAGTACGTCATATACATGCGAGGCAACTTGCTAGCGGGTCCACCTTCTTTTAGACCCGCTTCCTTTTCTGTCCTTGTGTAGGTTAGCTGATATGCCTGCTGCATAGGGGCGACGGGCTCACGCTTCGTCTCCCTCCCCTCCGACTCCACAGCGAGCTGACGGACGTAAGGAGTGGAAGCGAGCGTGCGCCCGTTGCCGCGTCGGCTCAAGCGGCCGGCCGCTCAAATTTGACGGTGCCCCACGGCGAGGCACACAGTCGCTATCGAAAACCAAAAGGATCTTCCTATTGCTTGAGCTGGCATCTCCTCTCATACTGGGACTATCGTTGCTACGGTACAACAGAGTTGGAGCTGAGCTTCGCCTGAGGCGAAGCTGTTGGCTGGGCCTTCCAGCCCCTTTCAAAGTGGCTCTCCTCCGCTGACCCAGGTTTTGCAGTTACTTGGCGGTTGGCTTTGGTCCGCGACACGGCCCTGGCTGCTAGGGCGGGCCCAGATTAGCACATCCCGACACTTGCCTCGACCCATCTTGATACGACGGCGGTGCCCGTGATTGCCACCAGCCCCAGTTGGAATTGGACAAGCTTTGGTGTGCTTGGATTGCCGACGGAGGCTGGCTGCCCCATCGTATCGGTGCGCCGAGAGGATGCTTTCTGAGTGCCCGTTCGTGTTTGCGCATTCGTGTGTTTGCGCATCGGCACAGATTAGCGCGCTAGAGTGAGGATACATCGCTTCAGAGCCTTCAGAGCGTTCTGGAGAGCTTTCGGAGCATTCAGGAGCAATCCGCGGCGCTCGATCCATCTTCCAAACCCATCAGTTTCCTGACGTTTTCGATGTGTCGTCATCCGAGTTTTCCAGCTGCTGCGGCAAGTCCCGGCATCGCGCTCGCCCAGCCTTGGGGGTGGCGAGTATTGGAGGGGGCACGGGAGAGCGTCACGTGTGAGACCTCCGTCCCCTTGCCTGTTTTGGGGGGTCTTCGGGTGGCCTCGGGGGACCTCATGGGTTTTTTTGGTAGCGTTTTTGCGTCATGGGCGAAAGGAAACAACCGCAACCGCTGGGCTGAGGGAGTCGCACCCCCAAAGGCCGACCCCGATGCCCCAGGGGCCATGACCTGCGCGCGGAACTCGAAAGCGGGCGCCGCGCGCGGGTCATTACAGCCGGGGCGCGGGGGTGTCGGCCTCGTGGGGCGCCACGGGCGGCGCCCTCGTCCTGGCGGTTGTGGATGTTTTTTTTTCGTGCCTGACTGTCAGCACTTCGGAGGTTCTCGGGGGTCTCCATGGACCCTCTGAGGGCGCTCTTGGGCCATGTGGGCGCTTTCGGAGTCCGTATTGGGAGGTTCAGTGGGTCTTGCTGATGCCTTCATGGGCCCCGGGACCGTCAAGCAACGACACAGGACGCACGAAAGTTTCCAGGGGCAGGTATCTGGACCGTTGGGGGCCGACGTTTTGAAGACAAAATAACATGACGTCGGATGTCTGGGGAAAGTCGTTCTGAGCCTCGCTTCCGTTGACGACGGTGTCTTGTCGTACCCGTTTGCTTTTCGCAGAGGCCTCTTCTTGTATGTATATTAGTTGTTTCCCTATTTGTTTCTGACGCTTACATGCTCCGTTCCCTTGTCATATGTTTCTCGCGATGCTGTTGGTTAGCCTTCCTTTCGCATGTGCTCTTTGGGTGTTAGCAGCCTCAATATTTGAATACATCTATAACTACACATAGGTACATCGATTTCAAATTAAGGGTAGCTTATATATGGCATGTTATTGTGTAAGGCTTTCCCTCGTCCATGCCTGAAAAGTGTTGTTCACTTAGTTGTGGGACGTCGGGTATGATCTGTTGCCTCTGAAATACCCGTAGTCGCCACGGCTGCATTCGATTAGACACATTGATCGGACTTGCGTCCAGGTTTGGGTCTTGTGGTCCATCATCAGCATCCGAAAAGGAAACGAACACGCAGCGATTGCGGACGCAGTGTGCCTGTGGTGCATGGTATGCATTGAGGTTAGTCGGCAAGTTGTCAGCGCTGAGAGCACCACTGTAAATTCAAGCATGCCCCAGTGTTGTCGTCATCATTGTCTCCGTCGTTGCTTGCAGCACCATATATTCCTATACCACGCAGGTATTTATGCTGCAAGCCAGAGCCCGAAGTTACGATAGATGACCGGCCTCCTTTGGAACCTTCTCGTCGGACCAGATGCCCAAAGCCTTGTGCCCGCGCCTTTCGGTAATGCGGAAGTGGATGGGCTTCCTCAGCTGATCATGCGCTTTTTCGCCTGGACGGCCGTGTGGGTTCTTCTTTGGTACATCTTAAGTTGCACACAGCCTTTGTGGGGGTCTGTAGTGGCTCCGAGTGAAAAGCCACATGAGAACGATCGGTATTGGATGGTACGGAATCTGATAGGTGTGATCCATGCATTCTTTGTGGCTGCTATTGCGATTCCAGCTTTGCTTGCCTTGAGCAGGGCCCCAGATGACGTTCGTTTTGCGGCATCTTCACACCTCGAGACATGCGCCATGGACCCGGACTTTTACCCTGGTGAGAATTGGGGGATGCACATCGAGGCCGTGGCATTGGCTGGACTTGCGTTCACTGCTTTCACAACTGCTGATGTTGTTTTGTCTATGCTGCATGGTCTTGCCACAGTGGACTACATGGTGCACCACGCCGCCTTCATCTTGGCGGGCCTTCTCTTGCGTGGAAACTGTATGCTGCCGTGGAAGGGATCCGTGCAATTGGCAATGGAGGCATCAACACCTTTCCTTAACATCATGTTGTTCTATCAGAACCGTGGAGCCGTTTATCGGCTTCTAGTCATTTTGTGTGGTACCGTCTTTGTTGCTTCCTACGTTTATTTCCGGCTGATCCAGAACACTTACGCTACAGCGCTCCTGTGGCTCCGTGGCAACACAGCATTTCCGTCAGGAATGCCGCGGTGGGAGATGTGGCTAGCAATTGTAGCTTGCACTGCAGGGGCTGCGGTACAGTTCTTTTGGTTTCCAGCCATTGTGCGGACACTTTTCAAGGCGACGCTGAGCAGAATTGACAAGCGCGAAGCTTATAACGAACACTTCATGACACAAGGACATGGGAATCAGTTCACCAGCTTGGTGAATCAGCGCCACCACGTGGTTGCTTGAAGGGATGGTTTGCTGGTTGGCTGCTCACTGTGCAGAGTGCATGCAGCTGTCTGCCGATGCAGGAACAGCATGTGCAATTTACGCGTGTCCCGAGGCGGCTTTGACTATCGACCGTCTGTTTTGGAGATGTACCTTCTTTGCAGGCCACAGTACAGACACATGGTCAATGTCAGGACATCTGGCCCTAGTGAAGATCTAGGGGTCGGGGTTCCAGGCCAAGCGAGCTCATCACATGCTCCCAAACAGGGTGTTTCTTCCTGGGTGGGGAGATGGTGCTAATAATCAGTGGTGCGACGTACCTCACGAGCAAGAAGCAGACGCCGAAGGACCCTGTGGATGGGGGTGCAGACTGAGGACAAAGTTGCCCAGGATGCTCTGCCGAGTTTTCGTTGCAGATGATCCTGCATTGGCCAAAAGACGTAGTACCCCGGAGTTGCGGATGAGAGTGAGGGGGCCTGCGCGGGGTGGGTCGCACGTGAGTCGTGGGCGGGTCGCGGGTTGAGTCGTTGGGTGGATCGTGGGTGGGTCGCGGGCGCGTCGCGGGCGAAGACAACGACACGAAGAACAAACAAACAGAAAAATCAAATATATAACAACAAATGAAATCTACAAACAAGCATCACCCAGGCGACGGAATCCCAATTAAGCCGCGTACCCAGGGACAATGAATGACTGTTCGGCCACCGCGTTCTGACGTGCCTGCGAGAAATAGGAATCGAAGGAACGTGGCTGTGTCATTCGCGTTGGTGGTGTAACTGTGGCGCCCAGCATGCCACTTGATTTCCGTTGGAGCAATCGATCATCGTTTGCAATCGTCCCCACTGAGCCGGACGATTCAGCACGGTTCCGCCACCAAGGCGTATTGGATGCGGTGCCACCGAGCTAGGTTGTCGATTTAATCGTTCTTCGTTGAGCAGTTTCTGTGAAGGGACCATTACAGAGTGGAGGAGCAGTAGCATGCACAGGAAACGTGCCGACCAAATCGGGCCTCCGTGAATTATCCATGCGCCCCTTGCTTGGGCAGGCTTCGGCTCTTTCAGCTGTTTTTTTGTTCAGGCTTCCTGACGCAGCTCTGGTAACCGAAGGTATTCTGGTTTCCGGCTTCGTGCCTGCTTCTAATACAAGCCAGCGTGGACCCTACAATGGGTTATTACATTGTGGCTGTGACAGCTATGCGGTCCAAACAGATGTGGAGCAACATAACGCTATGTGGTGTGAGCTATGAGGTGTTAGATATATGGAACAACTTACGTTTTGCAATTCACCATTCCAATCTTGAAGTTGTCAACTCCACTGCTCGCGTAATCATCCAACTCACCCACCCACAATTTGCTTTGCAAAACCCATGCGGCGGCGATTGCGATGACTGCTTGGTGTTGGTTTGCGCATTACTGCAGCCGCGCTAGCGAACGCTCGAGCGAACAGCGGCCAGCTAGTGTGGCGCGACCGACGCGGCCGTGGTGGTGCTGACCGTTCGGCACTTCCAGCGCGTCCCGCAGGCCGCGCTGACACGCGGGCACTTAGGTGCCAGTCGGTGGCCTGGGCGGGCGCGCCATCATGGCGACGGCGACAACAGAAAACACCATGATGATAGTAACGATGTTGGCGACGATGATGACAACGACGGCGGCAAAGCCAATGACGGCGCCGATGCTGCTCACGCCGGCGACGATGATGATGTCCACGTGTCGGCGATGAAGGCTGGGGAGGATTTCGACATGCGCGCGCGGCCGGCGCTCTCGTTTGGCCCGCATGGTATTTGTTGACAGGAATTGTGCCCCCCAGCGCGCGCGCAAGGGCGTTCGCATGATTTTGACGAGCGCGCGCGAGAGGCCCGTGTGGTCGCATTTGATGATAAGCTGGCAGCACCTATGGATGTGTCAATAATTCGCAAAGGTGCGCAGGCATATTTCATTTTCTGTCCTACTCGCGCGTTTGTTGCAACACGTGTGTTTCTTTTTTTGCATTTCTGCTGGGGGCGCCCGATTTTGAAATCGTCACGAAACCCTTTCCGAAGGATTCCGTCATGCGCGCGCGACGATGTGCGCGCGTGGCTTTTGTAATATTTGTCGAACGGTACTCATGAAATCTTATGATTCGCGATTTTCGAGTGCGCGCGCAAAATATTAATGAACGCAGATTAGGTGGGGGCGACCCAAACGTGGTTTGGATGGTACGGTCGTAGGTTTAAAGTGGACGGTGGGGCGGAGTCATGTGTAAATTGTAGATCCCTAGGGGGCGGATCAACCCTGGGGGGGGTGCAATGTCCGGTTTTCCTGGTTAGAAAGGACAGTTTTTTGTTTTTCTCCAAATCACGAGATGTCAACCCCAGTGCTCGCACAACCCTTCCACCCTCCCACCCGCATCACCCGGGGCTTCTCGTGCAAACCCATGCGTCCGCGGTTGCGATGGCTGCTTGGCTCTGGCTGCCGCATCTCTGCGGCCGCGATGGCGCACGCGCTCGCGCGCAGACCGGTCGGCTTGATTGACACAAATAGTGCGGCCGCAATGGCGCTCACCGATGGGCACTTCCCAGCGTTTCTTACAGGCCGCGCTGGCGCGTTGGCGTTCTACTGCAGTCGGTGAGTGGCGCGGGTGGTGGTGGCGCTTGTGATGGTGACGACGGCAAGGCTAATGACGGCGCCGATGTTGGTGACGACGACGACGATAGTGATGCCTCGGTGGTGCAGGTGAATGAGTCAACATTTTGGATCGCTTCGGAAACCAATGGTTTGGGACTGATTTCGACGTGCGTGTGGCCCTCGCGGTATCGTTTGCTACAGGTTCTTGCACCGGGCGCATGCTGGGTCAACGCCGATGCATCGCGTGGTGACATGTGAATGCCAGTTCCGGACGATCAGTGTTACATTCCCTATCGTTTTCCCTGGTGCGCAAGACCTGTGATGAAATGTCTAAGGCGTGTTCCCCAACACTCCTGCGTTGGTCTCTCGTTTTGAGCAGACCACTGTGCTTGCACATCCTCCTTCCCGCTTCCGTCCGCCTCTTCTCCCTTTTCTCTTCTTTCCTCCTCCCCTTTCCTGCCTTCTATACCTTGCTCGTACCTGCCTGCCGCCCTGCGTGACCTCGCCATCCCTGGGGGGCTGCGATCTGCGAAACTGTCCCCATATTCGATGGCTGCTGGGGGGTGCAGCAGAGGGACGCCCCACTCGGATTTATATAAATTGGACTTTGCCATTTTTCGGGGGGGGGGCATCTGCGACACCGTCGCCTTTTTCGAGGGCTGCTGGGGGGTCCAGCAGAGTGACGGCCCACGCGGATCTAAATTGAAGTTCGCTATCTTTTGGGGGGGGGGGCTGCGATCTGTGAAGCATTCGCCTACTCCGAGGGCTGCTGGGGGGTGCAGCGGAGTGACGCCCTACGCGGATCTAAATTAGTCCTCGCCATCATTTCGGGGCTGAGATCTGCGAAGTTGTCGACGACGCAGGGGCGCGCTCCCGAGTTCGCGACGCAGGGGCAGCGTCGCGAATTCGGGAGTGCGCGTGTCCTTGTTCGGGTTGGGCGCGTGCGCCCGTGTTGGGTCGCCCGTCTTCGGGGGAGGTCCAAACGGTGGTCACCACACCGTGTCATGAGTCAGTGGGGCTATTTGAGGTTTTCGGACATGTTCGTCAGTTCCTGGGGTTCTCTGCCCAAGGATAGGATCCAGCAGCGGATGCCGAAATCGTTCCCTGGGTGCCCAGATCCTCCCGAACGTTCGCTAGAGACCCGAGATGTGGCCTGGATCTGAACACTCGGAGGAGGGCCCGTGTGGTGAGCCAGTGAGTCCGAGGATGCCTCTATCGAGTGGGGCCTCCAGGGTCCCAGAAGCTTGTGGTGACGGACCGTGCGGTGAGGTCTTTGGGGATTTGGGGGTCACCGCACGGTCCGTCGCCGAGCCATTTTGGGACTCCCAGTATCTGCTTCCGGCGCCCCCTCTCGCGGCAGGAGGTCGTGATGCACGGCGTCGCGGTGGCGCTCGTCGCCGCCCACTTGTTCGGGGGACCAAGGCGGGGAGGAGTGCGTGTAATCTGTGGAGTGCCCTTCGCCCCATGGCCCCGACAGTTGCTGCGCTCTTCGGCGCCCTGATGGTCTCGGACGGCTTCGAGACCACTCCCAGTTGGCATCGGAAAGCCGCGGATGGCCCCAGACGGCCTCGGACAGCTTCGAGATCGCGCCCCCGATGCCCCCCCCCGCGCCCCGACAGTTGCTGCGCTCTCTGGCGCCCAGAGGTCCCAGGATGGCTTTAGATTGCCCCAGGACGGCTTCGGATCATTTTGGATTTCGATCACGGAACTCTTGTTGAACGCAAGCATGCAGCTTTCTCGCCGAAGATCGCAGGAAACCGCCGAAGACCGCGGGAAGCCACCGAAGACCGCGGGACGCCGCCGAATACCGAGGCAGGTGGGTAACAAGGGGTCCATGGCCGAGCACCCAGGATCATGGGCCTCGCTCGGTCTCGGGTGGCCTCGGGGATGAGGTCGAAGCGGGCGCGGACAGAAAGTCGAGGGCCCCGACAGATTAGATTTCATGCGGGGGGGAGGCGAAGCGTGGAGGAGAAAGTTGTTGGCGGGGCAGTGGGAGGAAGGATGCCCGCAGGAGTGTCAGAGTGGCTTCTGTGGGTGTCTGGAATGTATGATTCGGTGTTACGCTGTTTGGGGAGATCTCCCCACGCGTTTGGAAGGTGTTGATACTGCTGGCGCCCAGGTCAGTGACAAGCCTAGCTTTGGAGGGTACCAGTATGTTATTCGTGCTTGCGGTGCTCCACATTGACATCCTCTTCGCTCTGGGCATGCCAAGGGGGCAGTCCTCTGCGAATGGGCTGAGACTCTTGATCCACGCTATCGTGGCAATATTTCGAGTAGCGAAACGAGCAAGAGGAGGGAGGGGATGGGTGCATGGAGGGAGGGCGGAGGGAGGAGGGAGGATGAGTAGGATTCCTTCCGCGACAGCAGCGCGGACACCTCGAGGCTTTCCGCGACAATGTCCGTCCCGCTTACTTAATTTATCCCTCAAGATTGCGAGCAAATATAGCCCTGTCTGATGCTACCGTATTTACTTGACGACAGGCCTGAACCCCAGGACCAGTTTCACAGCCCGAGCCGTTTCTTGGTGGCTTGGGGGCTGGGTGAGGGCCCCCAGATGGCAAGAGGGTAACAAAGACGACAGCATGCCATGATTTCTCGACGACGCGCTGGGCTCTGGGGACAGGCCTGACAATGCCGAGCCTTCAGTCAAGATGCTGAATCAAGGACCACGTTGGGCTCGGGAGGGCCCTCCAGCTTTCGTGCCGCTCCTTGGGCTCAGATCGGGGAACCTCTTGAGGGCTGAGGTTTGCTGCGGCCAGGGAAAACTCTGCCGCTCCTCCTTCAGCGTTCCTTCTGGTAGCACGACGGCTGTATACCCGGTGTCTGGAGCGAGGTGGTTTTGCGTCTTGCACTGCCGTCGCGGGCGGGCTTGCCTCCGCCCGAGAGGCCGTGGGTCTCCACGTCCACCGCGGTCACGGTCGCCATCGTCCAGAGCGTTAACGCCTTGGCGTTGGGGATCGGGTTTGGGCATCACAGGGTGATCGGCTACACGTGTTTGCAGAGCGTCCCCGCCTCTGCGGGGGGGAGCGGCGGCCCTGTCCCGTCTGGAAGTCAGATATATCTGGCGCGCTAATAACATGGATTAGGGATCCATGGATCTGACGCGTTGGCGTCAGATCGGTCCATGGATCGGGGAAGATGATACCTAGCATGAGGCCAGTGTCGCCTCATTTTGCGGCGGACCGCGCCAGTCATGTACGAAAGCGGAGCCCGTTGCTAATCCACACGTCGTTGATCCATGTTTGCCTTTCCTCGAGGGTCGTCGGGCATCATCGGGAGACGCAGTCTATGCACGTCCACGTCCCCCAGGCGGGGCCCCTCCTGGACCCAGGAGCTGCGTGTACGCCCTCTTGGTCAAGCCAGGAGGGCGTGGCGTATACACCGCTGCTGGGTTCAGGCTGGGCCTGGCCAGGGAGCATACACTTCGCCGCCCCGCATGAGGGGCCTGGCCGACCCCTGCCGACGTCCGCCGCATCGCCGCCGTAGCCGGCGATGCGGCGGACACGCGTGGTCGCGCGGCGGTGCTGGGCGGTGGCCGCAGCGCTGCCCCTGCCGGTTTTTTCCCCTCCTTGGGCCTCTTGGGAGGCCCTCGTCGCCACGGCCGGATTCGCCTCGAGATCTCGGTCAGCACGCGCCCCCGGAGAGGTCCGAGGAGCAGCAGTATCGGTACCTTTTGCTCTCCCCCATTGGCGCCTTTTTGGGCCCTTTGGGAGGACCTCGTCGCCACGGCTGGATTTTCGCCTCGAGCTCTTGGGCAGGACGCGCCCTGGGAGAGGTCTGGGGAGCAGCAGGATCGGCAAACTTCCATGCGTTTGCTCTCCCCCGTCCGGTGTGGGCCCGCGGAGGCCCTCCGATCGCCGACCTGCGACGAGGCTCGGCGGCGAGCGAGGGGGGGAAGTGAGAAGGAGAGGGCCTTCTCAGAAGGCGGCTGGGCTTCTCAGAAGCCCTCGCGCCTTCTGAGAAGTTTGCTGTGTCTTCGGGGAACGCTTAGATCATTTACTTCGAGCGATGCCCACAGAAACCTTGGGCCCCTGTCCTCCTCCTCCTGCCCCATGCCTCCTTCCCCTCCTCCTTCCCCCTCCCATCCTCTGACTGAGGGACGCAGGCGAGGAGGCCTCCCGCAGCGGGGCGGCGGCAAGGACTCGGGGATTCTCGGGACAACTGGGGGTCTGGCCTGGTTTTGGTTTGTTCTGTTATATTATCTTGTGCCTCTGGTTTGGTTTGTTCTCTGATGATATGTGGTTGTCTATTATGTGACGTTCTGCTCTGGTTTGTTATGTGACGTTACGTTGTGCTGTGTTCGGAGGTGAGGGGGTGAGATCGAAGTGGAACGGAGAGCCCCCCTACCGGGAAATCGATTTCGGTTTCGTGTTCGTGCGTGCCCTGCGTGCGGGCGAGGCGAAGCTGCGTGGGCGGGCGAGAGAAAGTCTCCTGTGGCTGAGGCGCGGCCGGACCAAATGATTCTCCACCGGGCGGCCGGTGGCCCGCGGTGTCCCGCCGGTGTCCCGCGAAAGTCCCGTGTGGCTGAGGCGCGGCCGGACCAAATGATTCCCTTCCGGGCGGCCGGTGGCCCGCGGTGTCCCGCCTGTGTCCCGCGAAAGTCCCGCGGTGTCCCGCGGTGCCCCGCGGTGTCCCGCCTGTGTCCCGCGGTGTCCCGCGATGATGATAATGATGATGATGATGATGATGATGATGATGATGATGATGATGAGATGATGATGATGATGATGATGATGATGATGATGATGATGGTGATGCTGATGATGATGCTGCTGATGATGATGATGACGTCGATGATGATGATGGTGATGCTGCTGATGATGATGATGAGGACGATGATGATGATGATGATGATGATGATATGATGATGATGGTGTCCCGATGATGATGATGATGATGATGATGATGTCGATGATGATGATGATGACGATGATGATGATGCTGATAGTGTCCCGATGATGAGGATGATGATGATCATGATGATCATGTTGATGATCATGCTGATGACGATGATGGTGTCCCGATGGTGATGAGTATGATGATGATGATGATGTTGATGATGCTGATTATGATTGTGTCCCGATGATGATGGTGTTGATGATGATGAGGTTGATGATGATTATGGCGTCCCGATGATTATGATGATTATTCTGATGGCGATTGTGATGATGTTGATGATGATGGCGTCCCGATGGTGATGATAATGATGATAATGATGATGTTGATGCTGATGTTGTGAATGATGATGGTGTCCCGATGATGACGACGATGATGATGATGCTGATGATGATGTTGATGATGCTGATGATGA